TTAGATCTAAGCCCAAGTTCCATTGCTTGGGTCTAAGACCAAGTTTACTTATATCCTTGCGTTAGGCCACTGGTATGTTGAAATAGTGCCATACTCCATTTGGCTCCATTTTGCATATTGGTCTTGGTATTGGGATGCTGGTTGTTCCAGGACTGTTCCAAGTCACTCTGGGCTCCTGTCCCTTCGCTCCTTCGGCTATATGCTCGAGAATTGCTCCATGGTCTAGTTTCGTTGCTTCTAGGCTTCATGCTTGGGAGTTTGGCACCGTTCCTTTGTTCAGTGGCCCAAAGCCCTAAACCTCAGGTTCTGCACCACTATCCTTTGGACACGTGGCATGTGTCACATGGCACAAGGAGGGTTAGGTTCCGCTTCATGGTGTTGTCCTATGGTAAATCATTATACGATAAAGGGTCAAAACCACGTGCGGTATAGTTCTCTAGTTCTAATGGTTTCCTAGCAAAAATTCCCTCTTCTCAATGGATTTCTTGATGATGGGCTCTCTATATTGCTTCATGAAGAGCTCTTGGTGATCTTAGTAGACGATCTTGAGAAGTATAACTTGGTTATAGTTTTTCTTTGGCTACTTGATCGCTAATCTCTGTACAGCCCTCTTGCTTGAGCAATACTATTGCCAGGCAAGCCTAGTACCTAGAGTAGTGCAAAATGCCCTTGCATTCATCTGCAAAACGGATAAAATGAAAAAAGAGAGAAAGATACCTAGTTACCACATCTAGAACTCTTCTGAACTAGCACATTGTCACGAAATCCAACACTTGTCCAAAGATCTTAAACATATCGAAGATCCTATTGCCATGACCGATGAACATTGCATTCCAGTTGAGTGGCACGTCCTGATGCTACAACACCTCGCTCCACCACCAGGAGGATGATCAATCTTGCTCCAATCACCAAATCTTCCTCACAGCCTTGGGCTGCTATTGTTGCTTGAGCAATCTTGATGCCTAGATGACAAGTGCAGCCACAGTCAACACATTTGCATGTGACATGTGTCACCAGGTCTTCCTTTCTCACCCACGCAGTTTGGCCACCTGGCCAAGAGCAAATATCAGTGTGATTATTCACTAATACGTGGTTAAAAAAATAACCCCTTTACACTATCAGACGGCTGGGATTGGCTGGATCCAGCGGCCCAGAAAGTTCAGCAACTCCTTATCATGATAGATAATTCTTTAGAATCATCAACAATCTTTTTCAATAAATAAAAGTCAAAATAAATCAATAATGCACTGGACATCCCATAGCTTAGACACAAGAACGGGTCACAAGCTCCTTGAATTTTGTCATATTGCAAAAGTCTGGATTCTCAACAGCACTGGAGATCTGTCATGCCCAACCAACCATCGCTGTTCATCTTGTGACCCGTTCTTGTGTCAAACGTGTCTAAGCTATGCTAAGCCAAGCTTGAGCTAAGAGCTTGGCTTGTGGTATTGACAAACAATTAGCAATTCAAAATGTTTTGGGCAGTGGTGCTCCTCCTTCTCACAGCTCTCATTTTCAAGCAATGGCTCTCCAGCAAATCACTAAATCTCCCGCCAGGTCCCAGAGGATTACCACTCATCGGCCACTTCCATCTCCTGGGCAGGCTCCCACACATCTCACTCCAGCAGCTCTCCAGGAAGTTTGGACCGCTCCTTCACTTACGCGTGGGATCCGTCCCCTTGGTTGTAGTTTCCAGTCCAGCCATGGCCAAAGCATTTCTCAAGACCCACGACACGGAATTCGCCTACAGGCCTCGCAACAACGTGGTTTCCATAGTCACGGATTACAAAACCATAACTTTCGCTCATGGAGACTACTGGAAGAAGCTGAGAAAGCTTTGCACCACTGAGCTCTTCACAGCCACGAGGGTCAGCATGAACACGCAGATCATCCGGGACGAGCTGTGGGAGCTCAGTCGCGAGCTCTTGAGAGCTTCTGAGGCTGGCCAGGTTGTGGGAGTGAGATCACACTTGAAGGTTCTGAACTTCAACATCATGACTCGCATCCTTATGAAGAAGAGTTACTTTGGAGCCAAGGCCTCGGGCGATCCCGCCATTGCCAAAGAGGCATTGGATTTCATTGATATGATTGATGAGATCCTCGAGGTGGGAGCGTCATTCTCGATCACTGACTATTTCCCCTACTTGAGCTGGCTCGACTTGGTTGCTGGCCGCGCAAGGGTGGCTGGGCATAAGATGAATGGTTTCTTGCAGAAGGTTTTAGACGAGCAGCGTCCCGGTGAGGTTCCTGATTTCGTGGAGATCACAAGGTCTTGCCTTGGAAACGATGCGTTCAATCTCAAAGCTTTGCTCTTGGTAAGTATAAGAACTTCGAAATTTGTATAGAAACTTGTGATTTCTTTTGTGATCAGGATCTACTTGTTGCTGGATCTGAAACATCATCCACAGTGAGCGAGTGGGCCCTGGCAGAACTTCTTCACCACCCAGATTGGATTATCAAAGCTCAACAAGAGATCGAGAGTGTTGTGGGACGCAAACGCATGGTCGAAGAGGCAGACATATCCAAGCTTGAGGTCGTAAATGCCATCATCAAGGAAACATTTCGTCTCCACCCTCCTCTTTCTTTGCTCTTACCACATGCATCAATTGCAGCCCACAAGGTTGCTGGCTATGACATCCCCAAGAACACAATGCTACTTGTGAATGTCTATGCGATTGGAAGAGACCCTCAAGTTTGGAGTGATCCTCTGGAGTTCCAGCCCCAGAGATTCATTGGCAGCAACATGGGTGTCCACGGCCAAGACTTTGAGTTGCTTCCATTTGGATCTGGAAAGAGGTCTTGCCCGGGCCTTCCTCTGGGTCTCAGGACCGTCCAACTTGTTCTTTCCAATCTTCTTCATGGATTCGAGTGGCATTTCTCAAGCAGTGAAAAAGATCAGCCCATGGGTGAAGTTATGGGTTTTGTAAACTTCATGGCACACACTCTCAAAGCCAGGATCAAGCCCAGACTCGATGAAGATGTCTACAGCACGCTCAAGTTGACTTTGAAATAACAGTAACATATATTGATTTGATTCGCATAGCGCTTTAGGTGGATGGAATCATCTTAGGTGTCAACATTTGGGAGATGGTAGTTATCATAAACAGTACGGGAATTTCGGGCATAGATGAGAAGAAGTGTGTTTTCTCTTTTAGAAAGGAGAGTGTATTTCTTTGTAACTTGGTGGAAATATAACGTTCTTAAGTTTGTAATAACAATTTAACTGTGTTTGTTGGAGAAAGTTCGAAGTAAAACCATGAGTCCGTTAAAATCCATAAACTGGGTTTGTTAGCGCCACAGTTCTACAGGGATTTAGGGTTTCCACGATCGAGCGGATCGATCAATCGATCGAGAGGTATTCTCGGTTTGCTTGCCGCGCATCCGATTGCAGCTCTCCGGATCTCGTCATCCATGGCGATCAAAGGAGGCAAGAGTGCGAGGCGCGCGCTGTGGACGACGGTGCTTGCGATGCTCCTCCTCATGTCGCTTCTGCTCTTGATTCTCCTGGCGGTGGGATTGCTGGGGGTTCCATCGGGAATCGCTCCTCCGGAGGGGGATATTACCTTGCGGCTACCAAAGGATTTGCTAGAAATGTGGGTGTTTCTGTTTGGTAATTTTTCCATGTTCTTCTCATCTTCGTAACTCTTTTTTTTTTTTTTTTTGTTCCAGGCCCGTGTGGACTGAGACCATTTCCTGGCAACCGCGAGCATCCGTCTTTCACAATTTTTTGGTGAGAGGATTTTCTTTCCTTCGTGGCTCTGCTAGATCTTTGAGCTGACGCTGTGGTGATTGATCCGATCCAAACAGTCTAGCGAGGAATGCGATCATTTAATACGCCTAGCACAGCCCAATATGAAGAGATCCGCCGTCGTAGACAACCAGACTGGAAAGAGCAAGGACAGCAGGTATCATAAATTCCAGGCTAGAACTTTAGAAAAACTCAAAAGAGAATGCTTTGCTTCCAGGGTCCGGACCAGCTCTGGCACTTTCCTTCGACGAGGACAAGACGAAATAATCTCTCGGATCGAGGAGAGGATCGCAAAGTTCACGTTTATCCCCAAAGGTGATCTCTCTCGGCGTGTAGAGTTTTTGCGGGTCTAAACACCTGGTCGGCGTCTCTAGGCAGAGCATGGAGAAGGTCTCCAAGTACTGCACTATGAAGTGGGCCAAAAGTATGACGCGCATCACGATTACTTCCACGACAAGGTTAACACGAAGAACGGTGGACAGAGAGTTGCGACCGTGCTCATGTATCTGTGAGTGAACTTGAATGGTTTGTTCTAGCTTCTCTGCTAAATAACCTTTGCTCTTCTGTAGATCGGATGTGGAAGAGGGGGGAGAGACTGTGTTTCCGAGCGCAAAAGTGAACAGCAGCTCGGTTCCATGGTGGGATGAATTGTCCGAGTGTGGGAAGAAAGGCGTGTCTGTGAAACCACGCAAAGGAGATGCGCTCTTGTTCTGGAGCATGTCGCCCGACGCAGAGCTCGACCCTTTTAGTTTGCATGGTAAGAAAACTTATGCTTTCTTTGGTTTTGCTTCTAACAAGTGATTGGATTCAGGGGGGTGCCCAGTGATCAAAGGCAACAAGTGGTCAGCAACTAAATGGATGCACTTGAGAGAGTACGTATGAGAGCAATAAATCTAATTAACACTGAAACTTCTCCTCAAAAACCATGAGAATCAGTTTATCTGTGTGATGTTCTATGTCCCTGATAAGGATCCACAGTTCTCACCTGGAACTTGGAGACTTGTGACTCCGTAGTCATAGACACACCAAGCTTTGGAAAACCAAAGATAGATATATCATGATCACATCTTTTCTTCTTCTGGTGGATCAACACACACACACCGGTATCTTAGAAGATAATATTTGCGATTCATCAAAACAACGTTACAAGTTTTTTCTAATATAAACTTGTTTTGTCTAAACTATAATTTAATTAAAATATAATTTAACTAGAATATTTAAAAAGAATTGATCCATATGCATGTTTGATCTCTTATATCATTCACGACAATATGCCCCGATGACTCGATGCACATAACATAGAGAAGACCACACCAGCGCCCACAGTTCTTGTTGTTGCTCCACATAACCTTCCGATTCTCATCATAAACAACAAGCTCTCCATTCAACTGCAGCCTCATGTAACATTCTCTCCCCCAATTCTGTGTGTTGGTTGCCCACACCGCCTGATTCCCAAGATATAAAACAAGGTTGCAATCTGTTTGCATTCGGAGAAAATAAACTCCATCAGCAGATTCAAGATAGCCATCAGTATCAATGCGTGAGATGTTCGAATCCTCCCCCCCACTCCACAAGCAAGACTTATAAACCCAACAATCTGGTATGTGCTCTTCATCGTCGCCAGGACGATCCAAGAGCTCTGTAACATTCCCAAGTTGTAGATAGCCAAGGCTTTTGCTACGATTCACATGATACTGGTCGAGTATCCTAAGAGAGTCCGAGTCCGAGTCAGAGGCTTCATACACAGTGTACCTGATCCAGAGCCTCTCGTGAATAATCTCCATAGCAGCATAGTTTAGCCTTGTCAACTCGAGATTAGCAAGAATATTGTAGAGATTCATGAAGCCCATCATCAGCCTTGTGCCGGGCCTCTGGACAATCCCCAGCGATGGGAAGATACTACACATGAGAAGCTCGTCCAAAACACTCCTCCACGTCTCGGCAATGCCAATTGTTATGGAGACCATACGACCTTCGACCTCCAGAGTGGCATCTCCAAATGTTAATCCAGCTGAATACGACTGGACCCTGGAGATGCGCATGATAACTTCCACAATCTTGCGGAAGATCATTGTGCGGCTGGACGAAAGAATGTTTCCAGGGCCTCCTCGCCGAACAATCACTGAAACACATCCACTAGAGAGGATTGTCAAAATAAGAGCAGCAACAGCAGTAGCGATTTTCATTCTTTTCTATTGTGAGGTTTGTATGAAGAGAAGAAGGAACCATTTCTATGTCACACCTTCTCTCATGACATTTGAAACTTATATTCAAGTGTGCGAATATACTTTAGAAAGTCCACCGTGACTTTGTTATAGCTGTTGGATGGAAGCATAAAGTCTAAGGGGAGAAAATGAAAACCTGTCATACATGTAAAAAATCTTGAGTGTAGTGTCAACACACAGTGTATTATGTAATGCATTGTTATGTAGACATTGTTGCAATAAGAATGGTTGACAAGAGCAAGCTCATACTCAAAGTAGCATATATGTGCACACGAAGTGTGAATGATCAAGCAGCTCAGCTGGCAACCATCCCACAGTGGCCTGGGTTTGTGAAGAGGATCAAGTAGAGGAAAGTCATTAGGGCCAACATGCAATTTTTTGAGAAGCTCTCTCAAATGTGTTGATAAGGTTGCATGATGTTTTTCACTCATTGCCATGATTGTTGAATTTCACAACTTAGGAGACAGTTCAAAGATATGGCTTGGGTTCAGTAATTAAACTATTAAATTATAAATATTATAACTGATAATAAAGATAAGTATTAAAAACATTAATTTGTTGTATTTAATTTCAAGTATTTCAATGCAGAGCAACCACAACAATTATTTTGCTACTTGCTTCCCATCTGAGAATATCGCAAACGAAAATTGAGTAAAATTAGGATTAAAAACCAAATATAATTAAAGAGTGAAGAAAATGGATAATTTTCTTTTAAAACAAATTATTAGTATATAATAAAACACTTTTAAAAGTAAATACTGCTATGTAAATTTTGATATCTAACTTAATATATTACAAAAATATTAAGTTTTTATTTTTTGAAAAAAATTAAAAAATTGTGAAGCCTCTGGACAATCCTCAATGTGTAAAAATTATATAATGATTAAATGTGATAATAGATTAGAGTATCATTCAAAACCTAAAACTTAGATATTAAAATTATTATAATTATATTATTTTAAAATTAATTCACTTTATTTAAATAAAATATTTATGTTTATAAAAGATTTATATTCTTAAAATTTATATAAAATTTAATTTTTGTTTTCTCCTCAATTAGCAAAACATTATAAAGCACACTTGCATATAGATTATGAACAATACAAGTGATAATTCCATAAAGTAATTTTTTTAATATAGTTTTTTTATTTAATCTATCAATTTAACTTTAGATAAAAGAATAAAGAAATATTATTTTGATAATTTTATTTCTTCCTTCCATTTTCTCAATCTCTTTAATCAATGTTATTCATATTATTCTATATATATATAATACTTAATTTAGATATTAGAATTTCTATCAAATTATTCTATGTAAAGATAGATAATGTGTAATTTAGAAAATTCTGGTAGATGAATCATTAATAACTGAAGCATAGACTATATAATTCTCTCTTCAAAAATGTTTTAAAATTCTTAAATTTAATATCTATGAATCTTGATTAACATTTAGGTTAGAGGTGATAATTTGACACTAAAGTGTTTAAAATATACAAGAAAACTAAGGTTCATGCAAATGCTGGGGCCGCTGAGAATTTCGGACGGGTATCATTCAAATGGGAGCTGGGAGTTGCTATCCAACGGCTGGGCGATCGTCTTCTCTAGCAGATGGACAGGGCGGGGATCAAGGATGCCGTAAAGAGGTTGGAGCTTGGTGGTTGGCCGGTGGACACTACAACTTACGCAGATCTTCTACGACATTGTGGCAATGCTAAGGCTCTTGCAGAAGGCCGGAAGATTCACGAGCTTGTAGCGAGTTCCGGGCATAGGGAGGATCCATTTCTGGGGAACTTGCTCATGAGAATGTATGGCAGCTGCGGGAGATTGCAAGAGGCTCTGGAAGTTTTCAACAATCTCAAGAGAAGGGACGTGTTCTCCTGGAATGTGATGCTGGCGGCGTATGCCCAGAACGGGCATCTCTAAGAAGCAGCTGAGGTGTTTGATCGAATGCCACTGAAGAGCTCCTCCTCCTGGAACGCGATGATCACGGCTTACTCTCTCGTCGGGCGTGTGCTGGAAGCGAGAATGCTCTTCGATAAGATGATCGAGAGGACAGTCATCTCTTGGAACACCATCATCGTCACGTATGCCCAGAACGAGCATCCCGCGGAAGCTCTCTACATGTTTAAGACGATGGACTTGAGTGGATTCCAGCCCAACAAGGTGAGCTTCCTCGCAGTGCTCAACGCTTGCGGTAACGCTGGACTGCTTTCTCAGGCCAGGATAGTTCACTGCTTGGTGATCGAGAGTGGCTTCCAGTCGGATATCATGGTCGCCACCCATGTATGGGAAGTGTGGAAGCCTGGACGATGCCTTGGCGGTGTTCCATGCGCTTCCTAACCGAGACGTGGTGGCTACCAACGCGATGATCACAGCGTACGCTCAGAACAAATACTAGCCACAAGCCAGGGAGCTCTTCGAGAGCACGAAGCGGAAGAGTATCATTTCCTGGAACACAATGATCGCTGCCTACATCCAAGCCGGTGAAATCCAGGAAGCTAGAGCCTTATTCGATCGAATGGAGCTGAAGAATACGGCCTCCTGGAACACCCTCTTGGCAGGCTATGCTCACAGCGGACACCTCCAAGAAGCTCTAACGCTCTTCGCGATCATGGACTTGGAAGCTCCGCCGGACAAAGTTACCTTTGTGACGATGCTCGACGTTTGCGGGAACCTCAAGAACTCGGCAGCCGGGGAGGAGATCGACGCGGCAGTGACTTCAAGTGGCCTCTGGCAAGACGTGACGGTCGGGACGCGCTCGTTTGCATGCACGGGAGGTGTGGACGAATGGAGCTCGCCAGGAGCCTGTTCGAGAGGATGGAGCACAGAGATGGCGTGCTGTGGACGACGATGGTGGCAGTCTACGCGCAAAACAATCTCCTGGATCAAGCCCGGGCTACGTTCGACGCGATGCCGGACAAGCTCTCGCTCGTTGCCCCCTGGAACGCGATGATCTCGGCCTACGTCCGCTGCGGAGAGAATTCATCCGGAGTGATGCTCTTCCTCCTCATGGACCTGGAAGGCGGCCGAGCGAACGAGATCACGCTGGTCTGCGTCTTCGAGGCTTGCACCACTCCATCCCAGCTCGCCACCGGACGAAGAATCCACACGGCCCTGGAACGCTCTGGCGAGAACCAGCTGCTAAACCATCCGGCCGTGAGAACCTCGCTCGTCAACATGTCTGGAAAGTGTGGCAAGCTTGCGGAAGCTCGGGCCATCTTCGGCGCGGTTGCAGCGTCCCAGCGCGGAGATCTGGTGCTCTTCTCGGCGATGATCGCGGCCTACGCGCAGAGCGGCCACAGCAAGGAATCGTTGGAGCTCTTTGGCGTCATGGCTCTCGATGGTATACTGCCGACGGACGTCACGTTTATCAGCGTCTTGGCGGCGTGCAGCCACGCGGGCCTGGCCAAGGACGCGCGGTACCACTTTCGTGGCCATGGCTGGCGACTCGAGCTTGGATCACTATATCTGCATGGTGGACGTGTTGGGGAGGTCCGGAAAGGTGGCGGAGGCGGGGTGTGATGCCGTTTGTGCCGGATGCTGTGGCGTGGAAGACTTTGCTGGAAGAGATGAACAGTGCAGTACCCATCATAGCTGTTGGTCACATGGGCATTTTAATCATTGCAATTTACAAAGCCAAACAAGCCTTTGGAAACAAGATAATCTTAAGTCCGTACAGACAGAGGGACGAAATAACGACCTTGATTGACATCTTTCTTAATAGCAAAGAAGTGGAAGAAAGAAATTTATTTAAGAGAAGGAAGGGAAAAAGGTGAATGCTCCAGTAACAAGCTCCACGAAATGAAGAAGATGGCAGTAGGGCAGCGAGCAGCAGCATTGTAAAGAGAATATTTGGCTGGCCATGGCGTGTGAAGAACCAGAGGAGCCACCTCCACTGCTCTGGGAGTCGTGAGGCCGCAATGCGAGGTAACAATCCCATGCCATCAATCTAGGAGCTGGGCTGTGCAGTTTTTCGCGCGAATCGCTCGCATTCCCGCTGCTCTGTCGTGGGTCGAGGCCGCGGCCGGCGATTGGCGCCGAATCGGGCGCGCCCACCAGCGCAATCGCGAGTGGGAAACAGAGCAGTGGCTGGAATGGAGCTAGATCTGCCGAATTCGCTCGGAATCTGAGCGCTTGGGTGTGAATCTGAGGGTGCCCTGTGCGTGTCTGTGCCTCCAGAATCGTAGGAATCCATGGGAGGCAAAAAGGGTGGGAGTACCTGGTTCTCTGCCGTCAAAAAGGCGTTTAGATCGTCTTCTTCCTCCCCTTCTAAGGACGATTCGAGCAAGAATGCGAGCCCCGCGCTCCATCCTGATCCGGTACGTATAGAGCATCCCCGACCATCTTTTCTCTCTGGATCTAAAACATCGATGAATGACTATACTGGTGAATGATGTGTCGTCTTCGTGTTCTCGCAACGATCTCTCATGGAAACTAAATGTTCTCTGTCTCTCTGGATAGATCGATGTAGTCCAAAAGGAGAAGAAGCGATGGGGATTTCGCAGATCTTCCCGCCGCGGAGGGAGCAACGCCAGCAAGCCTCCATTGATCCAGGCGGAAGAACAGCAGAGCAAGCACGCCATGGCCGTGGCTGTCGCCACCGCCGCCGCCGCCGAGGCCGCCGTGGCTGCTGCTCAAGCCGCTGCCGCGGTGGTCCGCCTCACTGGATCGCGCAGGAGCGAGGACTGGGCCGCCATAAAAATCCAGACTGCCTTTCGAGGCTACCTGGTAAGCACTCGCGAGTCCTCCATTTCCTGTCTTCCTACGTGAAAGAAAGATGATGATGCAGTATAGAACTTTCTTTCGCTGTTCTTGATTTGTGGATTGATTGGCAGGCACGGCGAGCTTTGCGAGCGCTCAAAGGATTGGTGCGTCTGCAAGCTTTAGTGCGTGGCCACTCGGTGAGGCGCCAAGCAGTGACAACTTTGCGTTGTATGCAAGCTTTGGTGCGAGTGCAAGCTAAAGTGCGAGCCAGGAGGATCAGCCTGTCCGAGGAAGGAAGGAAGCAAGAAGATCTCCTTCTCAAACCATCCATGGTGAGCTCTCTGGATCCAAACTTCTAGTCCTCCTCCATGGCCAGCTCTTGCTTAGCTTGTTTCTTGGTGTTCCAGGCCGTGGATACAAGCGGCTGGAACGACAGTACCCAGACAACGCAGGAGCTCCAGGCAAAAATGCAAACTCGCCAAGAAGCTGCCATCAAACGCGAGCGAGCGCTAGCTTATGCCTTCTCACATCAGGTAAGTTCTTCCGATCGACCATTGTTTTCGTCCTGTTAGCTTGCGAAGTTTTGATGTCTCTCTCTCTCTCTCTCTCTCTCGTGATCTTGTCACAGTTATGGAAAGATGGCGATGCGCAGCTCCTCATGGACTACGATTCCGACAAGCCACACTGGGGATGGAGCTGGATGGAGAGATGGATGGCAGCTCGGCCATGGGAGAGCAAAGTCAGTCCTCAAGACGAGGCCGAGCTCCTCCTCCTCCAGCACCAGCAGCAGCAGCAGCAGCAACAACAGCAACTCAGATCATCCTCTCGAAAGTCATCGCCATCGCCAAACCTCCGAAACATCTCCACCACCAATCCCGGGACACCAGGAACCCAGACTCCAAAGAAGCACCACCTCCGCTCCTCGGGAGTGAGCCCCCGGAGCCTACGAACCGCGCTGCTCAACACCGCCGCCTCCGCCATCATCGCCAACGACGATCAAAACAGCGTTGCCTCCACGGTTCGCAGCACTCCCAGCTTGCCCGTTGGAGCTTTCGCTCGCTTCGCAAACAAGTCGAGCATCGCGGCCAGCTCCATCCGCGACGACGAGAGCATCGAGAATTGTATCTCCCCGGCGGCCTCGTCCAACGTCGCCATGGTTCCAAACTACATGGCCGCCACCGAGTCGGCTCGAGCCAAGGCGAGGTCTCACAGCACTCCCAGGCTTCGTCCGGGAACTCCGGAGAGAGATCTGGTGCTGGGCGCTCGCCGGAAGCTCTCGTTTCACGAACACGGAGGAGGAGGTGGAGCTCTGGCTCACTCGGGATCCATGAGAGCTGCCTCGAATCCAAAGTCGGCCTTTTATGCGCAGAGGAGTCCTAGTCTCAAGGGCTTTGATTCTCATGCCACTGCTGCTGCTTGATCTATCATCTATGCGTGACCTTCATCTTCTTTGTTTTCTTTCTCTTTTCCTTCCTTGCTGCTTTGGATTGTAAACTAACACTTGTGACAAATCATACTAGCAATTTTGTGTTTCTTAATATTATTGTTTTATATTATAAAATTATCGTTAACATATTTATTTTGTTATTGTTATGAAAATTCCAAAGGGGAAACTTATATATTTCGGGGAAAATGTAATTAATAGCATATTATTGTCGTCAAATTAGGGCTGACAGAGCTTGCCCTAAAGTCATTTTTTCCCGCCAAATGGGTCATTTGAGCGATTCTAGGGCTACTTCGCCAAATAGGATCGAGAGACAATGCAGCGCCGGCAGCTGTTAGAGAAGATCTACGCACCCTTTAAGGGTCTTCTGGAGCACTCCCAAGAATACAACGCGCTTGCTGCATCAGGTCAGGTATGGGAGACGTGGTTCCAGCCATTCAGCAAAATGGATGTCGATTTGAGGTATCAAGAGGGTCACCGAAAGATTCTAGATGCCCTGCGCAGTTTCACAGTGGTGAAAGAGGACCTGTTTGCAGCTCGGCTTGTGAGACTTGTAGCACCCAACTTTCTCCAGTTTGATGATGCGAGTGGTGTACGCCCAGACTTTAGCTCCTTGCTACGTAGCGGCAGGGCACCAGGATTTAGCGACGAAGAGGTACAGATCACAGCAAACACACAAGAAGCCATCAACAGGATGCTTGAGAATCAGGCTTACATAGGACTGGAGGAAGAGAAGGAGTACCATAAGATCCTCCTGCAGAAGACCACGCAAGAAAACGTTGCTTGGTGGTCTCCCTCAATCGTGCAAAGTGCGGGTCAGTACAGGAAACATCCGCTGCGACCAGCTTTTTACGAGGAGCAGGTTTATCCTTGGATATGCTCATGAAGAGATTCCACTGCTGGCAAGTTTCACTCCGTCAGAACTCCTCTCTCAATGGGATCATTGTGGCATGCAGGATCATGATTGCATTTTTGCAGCTTCATCCCTTCCATGATGGAAATAACCGGTTAGCAAGGTTATGCCTAGCTAACAATCTCCTGAAGTTTGGCTGCTTACAATTCTAATTTTATCAATCCTCATGTCCAGAAAACAAGATCTTTGTCAAGAATTACTAGCAACATTATAGGACACCGGCTCCGAATTTTTCAGCTCGAAAAACACCGCGCGCTGCTTGCCACTTCTTGGGGCCCGACAGCATCATCTCTCCCTCGGTCTCATACACACCATGTCGTCGATGAGCGCCTTGAGCTCATGGAGCGAATGCACCTTGAAATCGGGTCGCTGGTGAAGAGGGAGCTCGTCAATCCTGTAGCGAAACAGTGGATCGACCAAGCAAGTCATCGCCCCCGCGCTCTTCCCACACGCAACATCGTCCTTCGCGGAATCTCCCACCATCAAAACTTCGCCAGGCTTGACGCCCCACGTTTCGCACACGCGCAGCAGCGGCTGAGGGGACGGCTTCATCGCCGAGGCCTCATTCCCAAGTATCGGCGAGAATCTGGAACCGACGGCCAGCTCCCCCGCCTCGAAATTCTCCGCGTCTCTTCTGCTGCTCCGGGTGATCATCCCGCGCCGGAGCTTCTTGGAGTCGATAAAGCTGCATACCTCTGCCGCCCCAGGGAGTGCCCATTTGTTGGACCTCCCAGCCCTTTCTACCGCCTGCAATGCCAGCTCCGCTTCCTTTGGGGATGAGTAGACACGGCTCGCGACCGTGGCTTTCAGCGCCCGCAGGTCGAGCGTGGGCGGGATCCGTAGCGTCCCATCCAAATCAACCACGACACCGCGAAGCACCGCCTTTACCAAACCCATATCTGTGAACCCTAAGTTTCAGGTTTATTCTCGAACATAATCTGGCATGTTGACCGTCCGATTTGCAGATATGCGACTTTGGACGGTGCTGGTTAACTTCGATCCAAAAATGTCGACTACGTACTTACTAGTTAACTAAGTCTCCATGGATTTTCAGACTCTCGCAAGCTCCGACTCCGGCATAGCTGCACCAAAAAACTATTACTAGCAATACAGTCTTGATTGTATCTTTTTACCTGGCTTTTTTACCTGGCTTTTTCCTCGACTTCGACCTCGTCCTCAGTCAAAGTGGAAGAGCACAGTAGAGAATCCACTTTTGGAGCCTCTTCTAGTGCTCTTTCTTCACTCTCTTTGATACTCGTATTTGCGCGGCCCATGGTTATCCAGCTCAGATTTTATCTATCGTTTACCTGGCTCTGACTTCTCGGCCTCCATTTCCTCCCGAGTTTCCACGGACGTTTCTTCGACTTCGACCTCGTCCTCGGTGAAAGTGGAAGAGCACAGTAGAGAATCTGCCTTTGGTTCGTGGTCCTCCATAGCTGCACCAAAAAACCATGACTAACAACACACTAATGATTTTATCTTTGTCCCTGGCTCGGACTCCATTTCCTCCCGAGTTTCCACGGACGTTTCTTCGACTTCGACCTTGTCCTCGGTGAAAGTGGAAGAGCACAGTAGAGAATCCGCCTTTGGATCGTGTTCCTCCATAGCTGCACCAAAAAGCCATGACTAAAACACACTCTTGATTTTATCTTTGTACCTGGCTCGGACCCCATTTCCTCCCGAGTTTCCACGGCCGTTTCTTCGACTTCGACCTCGTCCTCTGTGGACAGTAGAGAATCCGCCTTTGGCAGCCTCTTCTAGTGCCCCATCTTCACTCTTTTTGTTACTCGTATTTGCACGCCTACGCGGCCCATGGTTATCCAGCTCGTGTTCCTCCGACTCCGCCATACCTGCAGCAAAAACATTATTACAAACACAGACTTGATTTATTTTCTACCTGGTAACGCCCCGTGCTTCTCCAACTCTCTAACTTGTCCCACTCCCTCATAGCTGCACAAAAAACAATGAGCAACACAAAAAGAGTTTGATTTTTATCTTCTACCTGCGTGGCATGATAGCGCCAGCACTCGCTCCGGAAATGGAGTGAAGAATACCTTCAAGTATTATGTTGTAGAAGGGTGCCACGTCATTGCGAGCTGCAGAATCCAGTGCATCTGGAACAAGCCGACTGTACCGTGGTAGCATTGGTGGAGGGTAATTTCTTTTATCTTGAAGAGAGCCATGCAGATTGCGGCAGAAGCTGCATCCAGCGTCCACACCGTTGCGGCAGAGGAGGGTTCGCTTGCATGGACAGTGCTTGTGGTGACGATCCGGCTGCGAACACGCTGCAAAGACTAGGGAGTAGCTTTGAGACATGCATGGTGGAGGACTACACCCCGGAAAGTCCTTAAAGTAGTTTTGTGCTTGAAATTTCTGCTAAATTTTTCCCATCTAGAAAGATTAAGCAAATATTTCCAGTTGGGAACCACAATATGTTTGTAGGAGTGAACTGAATGTGTTGAGTTAATCTCCAGAACATTTTGGATGTGCGGTTATGAGAACTATTGAGTCTTCACACTTCAAAAGGTGGTCTACCAAGAAAAAAGAACATCTTTTAATCTTTATTTATACAAATAACTGACATTACAATCATCATTCTAAGATCAATTGTGTGCTAGACAACCTATATATATATATACCTTTTTTGAAAGAAAAAAAAGAGGTGAAATCTCACTATGATAAGCTTCTCTTATATCTCCAAACCAGTCTTTGCTACTTTGAGAGCATCCTTCATGATAAATCATTAGCGTGTCAATCAAAAATAATATCATTCATGTTATATTGCACACACTTCATTGTTGAGGATACAAAATCAATCCATCAGTACCTAGACAGCTCCAAAAGCCTATGGTAAGTCATCATGAAAAGCTAATAATTAGGAAATAAATAATTAACATTTATTATACATATATATAGTGATTTCTTATAGCATACGTGGTTTTCACATAGGATAATCACAAAGCATAATTTAAACTTTCCATGTACCATATGTCATATACCACATGCCATATATTATATGTTTAAGGACAGTGAAGCGGAACTTGAGTTTCAAGGCCTTGGGCCACTGAACAAAAGAATGAAGCCAAACTCCTAAGTATGGAGCCAAAATAAAAGTAAAGCACATATTGATGCTTGAACATATAACTTAAAAAGCGAAGGGACAAAAGCACAGAATTGTAGCACACCTTATCTCTCTCCCCTTAAGCTAATTGGAAAAAAGGCAATTGCTTGATGAGAGATCCCTTAGTGGCTATTTTATCCCTATTTATCCCCCAAGGTTCCAAGGATCCACGGTGACAGTATATCCAAATCTCATCCCATGATCACATGCGCTACAGGAATGACTTAGAGTAGTCCTAAAGCATTTAATATCCCAATGTTATGACCAATACAAAAAATGGAGCTAAAAAGAATTTAACGCTATTTCAATATACCAATGCAACCCCCCCTCCCCCCCCCCCACCCCTTCTCTTAGGAATGTATGCTTTTAGCTTTCATAGGGCTAACTCAAACTTTACTAATATGGAATAACACTAAATTGTGAATTTGGGCATTGTGTTTAGGACAATTTCTATATTCTATAGATATAGCAAATTAGCAAATCTAGACACTTTCCATAAATAATAATTGAGACCGAACGGAACTAATATAAGATGCATGATAGCGAGGGTGTTTGGTAGACAAAATATGTTATCACCTGGCGAATATTGAAGGACTAAGCTCAATATCACAGAGGTTCCTAACATTAGCAAATGCAAGCCAATATATGAGTTTCTCATACCGAGCCAAGTATGCTCAGCAAGAAACACATAGGAATTCTTACCTTATGTTTATCTAGCGTAAGTACATATATGATGACTAATTTCTCAACTAGCTTAGGTAGAGATTAAAAAAAAACCAACAATATCGACATTCTATTATCATAGTAGTAAAGAAAAAATATCCGAAAGGACTAACCGATAAATAACTTTCGATACCCGTAGTCACATTCATGATATTTCTTGAAAATTATATGAATACTTTAATGGATACATATTTTCCAGATAGATAAATATTCAGATGAAAGATGAATATTTTCAACATAAAACTCCTTGTGGGAAAAATGTTCCACAATATATTGAGTGCAAAAGACATTTAGGATCTAGTCAAGGATAGTGATCTCAAGGATTATCTAGGTGAAAAGGGTTCATTCCAACCTATATTATAGGAAGGAACAACAAATTTGCAAAAATAATTAAAATTAAAATTTACTATTGCTTTATCTAAATGATAATATATTTCCCACTTACTTTTAGTTTCTCTTACCTCTTACAATATATTCTCCTTGTAAATGTTTGGCAAGTGATTCCATGGCCTCAAGGTGACTTTGGCATTAATGAAAAATGTCTATGCTAAAATTATCTATAACAAGGAGATTTACTTACAAAATTTTAAGGGTATGGACCATTGTTTCAAAAGGGATTTATGGAGGTGGTTGATAAAGAGAATACACAAGACCAAAATGTCAATTTGGAGCTAAGAAAATTTTCTATTATATTTTTGGTCAACAACTAGCTAGTTATAGCAAAGTATCATATTATATAGAATTTGTAGAATAAAGATAGATACACTTAGTGTGAATTGCAAGGGGAGTTTCCAAAAATATAGTAAGGATAATGAGGCTAAGAACTCTAATAATGCCTCCAAATTGAGTTGAGGTTGGATTAGGAGTTAATAAACTTGAGTGGGAGTGAGCATGGGTTTGAAGAGTGTAAAAAAACTCTTATAAAAAATGTGGTCAAGAGTAGTTCCCACTCCCAAAACAAAAACTAACTACAATGCTCTTAACTCAAGTGAAATAGTGTCCTATTTAAGTATTATATGCCCCATTGGTTTTCGCCCCTTCCTAAGGGTTTGGATTTGCCCTTTCGGATAAAAGTGGGCAGTTGAGGTACTTATATTAGGCCATTAGGGCATAATGTTTCCAATGTCCTTGATAAAGAAGTGTTGCTCCTTATCAAAAGTGTTTGGTGATGAATAATAATAGAGGGAATAAATATGAAGATATCTGAAAGGGTATAACTACTAGTGTTAAAGGCCAATCACTAGTACTTTAACTATCATCAACAATGTTTCAACTTTCTCAAAGATTCTATTTATAATACATTACACACTATTGCTTTTAAGGTTTTTAAAAAGACAAATAACTTGCTCTAAGAATGGGTATAAAAGTTATATTTCTTGAAACATGGGTTCAAGAACTTTTCTTTAGTTTATTGTCTTTAGAGAAATATGAGAGATCTCTTGATGCTGTAATAATATATGCATCACTTAGCAATATTAAGATTCATAAATGTGATTGTAGGTGTTGAAAATTATTTGTTGGCAATTCCTTTTAGATATCTTCTTTTACTGCTATGACTGTAAGCAATCAATATAGGCATTGTGAGTGTACTTAAACTAGATGAAATTTCTACGTATTATTGATAACTTACTATATTTACCAAAACATCTTCACTATCATGTCTTATGTGTTGTGTAAACTCTTGAATTTGGACTTTCACCCAACCCAGTGCTAATTAAACCCAACCCTAGATATTTAAGACCTTTAACCAATTGGAAAAAGGAGTGCATTTTTGTTCATAAACCCTTTCCCTTTATATTTGAACCATTTTATATCATCTTTCAAGTTGTTTTTTTTAATTGTTTATAATCCACTATACTTTCTAGTATGTTCATGCCTTCATTTGAGAGCTATAGCTTTCTTGAAAGCCTTACTTTGTGGACACCTTACCCCTCAAGTTGAGCCCAATTAAATTAAATTGGATTATTAGATGTCAATTTTAATATATGGTGTGATTCCCTTGGCCAACTAACAGAGTCAAACTCAAGACCCCTCTAATACCAAATGTAAGTTT